CCCCCCCGCCGCCTCCGCCGCCTTTTTCCTCTACTGCTCTGGCTGAGCAGGAATGGCCTCGTTGCCTTTTGCCTCTTGGCAGCCTCTGTTTAGGGAAGAGTCGCCAAAAGGACACCGGGAGGGACGGCAGAGGAGCAGGAGGATAAAATGCCGAGGCTGCCAACTCGTGGGGTGGCCTGGCTTCTGTGCAGAGAGGGCAGCCAGCTGCTCTGGATCAAGGGCTCATGCTGGGTGGTGGCCAGCCATGTCCTTTGAGCCAAGACCCAGCAGGAATGGACCCCCACCCCCGCCCCCAAAGCCAGATTGTGAAGCACCAACCTGGCAGGAAGCCTGGGGAAGGGTATCCCTGAACATGTGCTGAGCGCCCTTTCCCCCTCGAGTTAGAAGACAGGGGTCATAAGCCGCTGTGAACCCATTCACGTCCTTTGAGAAAATAGCCTGGCCCAAAATAAACACCGTGTGAACGCTGACTTCCCTGGATGTCTCCCCCCACCCCCAAAGCAGTTTCTCTCCTGCCATTCACCCAGGATTGGCACCCAGAGGAGGGGGGGGAAGCCCCTCAGGGTGGAAACACTGCCTTTCAGGAAGCACAGGGAGCTAATTTGCCCTCCACTCCCCCCCCCGCTTGCCTACAGCTGCTTTTCCAAGGGAGGGAGGGAAGGAGGGAGGGAAGGGGGGGTAGACACAACCTGGCAAGAACCTCTCCTGCCCTTCTCTTGCAGCTGACAAGGCCACAGTGCTGCCCAAATGGGTATTGGGGGGGGAGGGGAGATTGGGGGCACGTCCAGAGTGGGGCAGGGGAGGCCGATTTGTCCAGAAGCTCCCTTTCCTAAGTCTGTGCTGAGGCCAAGCCAGGTTGGTCTCCCTTTGCAGGCCAGCACTCCCGACCCCATTAGGCTGTCCTTGCAGGGCTGGGGGGGGGCACCCAGAGCCCGAATCCTGCCGCTCCCACTCACCGTCAAAAAGGCTGGGGCCCCAGGCCAGGCCAGAGGCTTTCCCTGACCGTCTTCCTCCTCCTGCTCAGCCAGAAGTCCCTGGGAGGGGGCTGCCAGTCCAGAGAGCAGTGGCGCTCCCCTCTTCCTTCCTTCCTTCTTTCCTTCCTTCCTTCGGGGGGGGGGCTTCCACCTTCTCCTGCCGGTGCTGCTTCTGCCTGAAAAGCCTCCCGTCCTCGGACGGCGCTGGTCGGCTGGCCCTGGCCTTTACAGCAGGGAGGGGCGGCTCCTGCTTGAGCTGGTGGGAACTGGGCTTGACTGGCCCTGGCGCTCAGCTCCCTGAGCGTCTCCTTTGCCGAGGAAGCTGGAGATCCTGGCTGAGCCTGCTTCCGAGGCTTCCGACCGGTGGGCTGGGCTGGGCTGGGCTGGCCTTAGCAAGGCAGGCGTCCCGCTCGGTCCGGGGCTCCCTCGATTTGCTTACGGTGATCAGGGGTTGGCAGAAACAGACTCCCTAGAGAGGCGAGACCTTTACAGGTCTACCAAAGGTGTGAAAATTAAATTTTCTCTCTCTCTCTCTCTCTCTCTCGTGAACATGCCGTTCATGGTGAGTGATTAAATCAAGAGAGGAACGGCCCAACTGTGTTCCCTCATGGAGAGAAAGCCAGCACGGAGCACAAAGGAACAGGTGCGGCAGATCTGGCCTCTCCGGCTCCTGCTCCCCACCCGGAGGCTTCTGGTGCTGCCACTGCCCACCCTCCCCCAGCCTCAGCCCTGCTTTCCTCCTCCTCCTCCTCCGCCCAGGAATTCAGGGCACTGACATCTTCCTTCTGTATTTCATGACCACGGCACCTACTGGGTTGCGGGATGACAGCCTGGGCATCCCTCGCGCTTCTTCCCCTCTCGGATGCGGGTGGGTGTCGGGTCTCTGCCGGGGCTCAGCCGCTCCCTCTCTTGACCAAACAGCAGGAAGCTCTCCAGCGAGCGTCAAGTGACGGCCGCGGAAAGGAGCAGCGGAGCCACAATATTTACTTCCAAATAGTTCTGCCCCCCCCCCGCTTTCCCCAGGCTCAGGGTGACCTTCTTCCCCAGACACTTTCCGGGCTGCCTCGGCGAGAGGGGAGGGCAGGAGGTGCGGCGGCCATGATCCCCCGCCCCAAACGCCCCGACCGGACGCGGTCCCCTCCTTTCCGCGGGGCCGGTGGCGGGTGCAGTAAAGGGGCTGCGTGCGGAGCGCCTCCGAGGACAGTCGCGGAATGGGAG